TTAAGAAAGCACAGTGCAGCCCACGACACCCCTCAACAGTAACATCATCTTAGCACAAGAAGGGTTAATGAAAGCTGACATTCTCTTTGCAGTGTACCTTGACAGTGGGAAAAACAAGGCCAGCACTCCCCATAATATGGCTGGGGACACCTAGAACCCACACATATAGTGCTTTAAATAAACGTGCAGATTCTGGGACCTACCGAGACACACTAACAGATCCCTAAGGATCTGTTGCAGAGGACTGGATGACCAAAATATGTTGGTAAAGTAATCTTAAGACAGAAAAGAATAGGGGTTCTGGGGCTGGGGGTTTAGCTCAGCGGCATAAGCACCTGCCTTGCAAGCAGGCGGTCGTGAGTTCGATCCCCGGTACCGATAAAAATGAAAAAGACAAAAAAAAAAAAAAATTAAAAAAAAAAAAAAAAGAATAGGGGTTCCAAGTTGCACCTACATGAAAAATCAAGCTGCTTTCCTTGCATTTCCCCCAGAGCTTTTGCAGGAGCAGAGGGAAGATGGGCAGGGCTAAGCACTCCAGAGGAAACTGAGAACCACAGTCCAGTGGGTGGCCCCTATTCATGCTGGGTTGATTCTGGCCAAGGGCCGAGGCCCTGATTGTACAATGGTTGCAAAATCTAAACAGCAAATCTTGCATTAAGCACACATATCTGTCACATCTCTAGGTTGTCACCTATACTTCTTTGTCATGTTCCTTATTGCTGTGCCATGTCACAGCAATGCTTTTGAGGATTAACCACACAGCCAGAGAGCAGAGTCCACAGGTCTGATTATAGTTGGGAAACAGAGGATCAGGTAGCCCTGCCAAGTTCCTTGAATCTCCCAGAATAGACTGTGTTCCTTGAAGATGCTTCCAAGTTCCAGACAGAGGTATTGTGCCCTCTCCTTGCCCTCTTGTCCTTATTCAATGACACTAAGCAAACTGACTAGAAGTCTGTTAAAGTTCCCAGTGTCTGAGTGTGCACACTCCTTAGCACACCTCTTTCCCCCGTATAAAAGAAAGGCTGGGTATGGAGTCTCACTAAGGCAGCTGCCACACTGACAGCACAGCAGGTGGGTTCTGTACAGAGGTAAAAAAGAGGAACAGCACAGCCTTAAAGAGTGGTTCTAACTGAGGGGGAAAATTGCATTTTGGCAGGGCTTGAATTTTTTAACATTAGGAGTTCCAAAAGTCCTTTTTCTTTTGTTCTTTATTCAAGTCTTTTCTGAGCTCAGCTTATCTATACATTTGAATGATGTGAATGAATATCAGAGTAACAGAAGCTAAGCACTGAATACCTTAGCAATACAGGAGCAAAAACAGCCTTGAGCCCAGAAAAACAAGCACCCTTAAAGACAACACCAAAAATTCTGGAACCCTGATTTTGGGACTGGGGGGAGGCACATGCCAAAAAACAGAATCTTTGGCTGATGGGTACATCAGCCAAAAATGAGCCAGGAGGGAACAGCAAAAGAAAATGAGGGAGGGGGATTCAGGACACTTCCAGCACTGAGGAGAAAAGAGCTGGCAGGAAGGGAGGAGACAAACACCACTAAACTGCCACTGAAAGAATGAGGAAGTGGGTAAGGCAACAGGTTTCCTGTGGGACTGCACTCCACAGCCACTTGTCCTTTACACTCTGGCCCAGGGCGATGTTTCCAGCACACTGATCAAGAGCAGTGCCAAATTCAAGTGACAGTTGGTGCTGTCTCTCTGGTGAAAAAATCAGACATGTTTCATCAACACTAAACTGAAGAATGCACTCAGGGATATAGCTGAATGTGATGCTGATTTTAAAAATATAACAACTCTGAAGTTGTATTTTTTCCTTTTAACCTCTAGCTAAATAATGATACATTTATGGATTAGTTTCTTTTTGTGTAGAATAATAGTAAATGAAGATTTAATAATATGGTTCCTTTAAATGTAAACCTCCATTGTTGGATGGACTATGAAGTGTCTATCAAAGATTAGTAAATGTACTGCAAACAATAAACTACCTCTATAGCTAGACATGTGCAGATATTATGCTATTTTTAAAAAAGCATTTTTTGCACAGCTCTATAGGTAGATTTTACCATTACTGTTGATACTATTGTTTTTAAATGAAAAAGGAAAACATTAATTTCTTGAAGTCATTGTTAGCCAGATCTAACATAAATTCTTTATAGTTTGGAACTTGACTGACACATTTTATGATGTATTTTATTCTACATCTCTTCACATCTTGATTCATAATAAAAAGAGATTTCAAGTCAAAAACAGATGTTAAGACAAAGAAAACGTCAACTTACAATCAACAACACTTGAAAATTCTGATAGCATTCTCTTATGAAAAAAAAATTCTAGAACTATGAACTAGCCCAAGGTATTGATTATACTTATTAAAACTCATCACTCAAAATGAAGTCAATTCACAGTCTCTGTTATATTAATAGCCATTCTGAGAACAAGCCAAATGTCCTACACAGGTTTTTGTATCACAGAGTTGAGTTTAGGTTCCAGGTATCTGCAGAAAAAAAAATGTTTTTGCTATACTTACTAATGACATTTTGTATTTATATTTTTAAAAATTATTGTTATTCTTATTTTGAAATTATTAGTGCATAAATATAACATCTATATGCAATTGTCAGTGAGAGCTCTTTTTTAAATGATATGATATATGCATATATAAAAGCTTTTCAAAAGATAATGAAAAGCTTGACAATCATCTTCAGAGTGCTTCCAGAAGATCTTTTTCTTCTGTCATTTTCAATCTTTTTAAATCAGTGAATTTCATTCTGCTTGATCTGACAAGTAGGCCTTTGATTTACAACAGCTGGATTCCAGTGGTACTATACACACACACACATTCACAGAGTCATAAGTCACTTAACAACAGGAATATGTTCTGATAAATGTATCCTTAAGTGATTTTGTCCTATTGTGAACACCACAAAATGCATGAATTCAGTTGCTCTTTGATTACAAGATAACACAATCCTACAGAACCACCATCACATATGCACTCTGTTGCTAACAAAAACATCTTCATGAGGTACATGATTACACCTAATTTCATTTTTACCTTTATATGTCTTTTCTGTAATGAAAGGAACTAATGAAATATAGTTTGGTGCAAGGAGCTCAGAGTCACTCAAGTTTCCTGAATTAACAAAGTTGCAAAGTAGTTTTCCTGCATAGCTCATTACCATAAATTTGTCTACTTAGGGATTTAACAGATTGCACATGGACATAATATTTTTCCCTTCCTTAATTTCTGTCTCCATTTTATTTCTAAATTCAGATTTATTGCCATGAATTCTCCATTGACTGGTAATGTATTTAAACTTAATTCCAGTTGTTTTAAATTCTCTTTAAATTTTTATTTATATAAAAACGTCATGGTGGGAATCTACTGATAAGTATGAAAATTTCATTCTTGAGTTTAACAGTGCCTTGAAACTAATATTGCCAAAATTTCATAAAGGAAAATATATGTTTGTAGAAGAGTAAAAGTTATCCATAACCAAGAAGTGGCTGTCAGGAAATTGGTCATTAGTTTTTTGTACATTTGTTTTTTTATTTTCCCAAAGTATAAAAACAGGGTAATAACAAATATAAAGTTAAAGGAAAAGCCTAGTACCCCATAATATCCACATCCCAGTTTATGCATAATGTATCCATTTATATGTCATATGTAGGTGCTCAATAAAACTCTTAATTCCAAAGATGGCCAGGAGTCTTTGTTTGCCAGTTGGACCAACGAACCCTAAAAAAACAAAATCTTCCTATTAATCTCCATGCTCCCATGTAACCCAGTCTCCAGCACCCAAATCACCTGAAGAGACACCCTGGAAAATGTCCGGATCACAGGACTGCTGGCTCCTTATTCAAATGACCAGATATTTATTATGCTAATATATGCAAATACCTGTGAGTGCTCTGAGGTCAGTCACTTGTTTGCCCAACCTATCAGTGACCCTGAAAGTGTAATTATAAACCTTGTTATTTTTCAATTTTATAAGAAAACATCCTATATTTCATCAGTAATAATTTCATCTCCTGAAAGAAACCAAATATAAAATTCTCTTTCTAAATCCATTACTCATCTGATAAATAAGTCCACAAAAGACATTTAACTTCCTCTTTCTTATCTTAGTACAAGCTCTTGGGTATGCATAATGAATAGTCTGGCATGAAGAAATCTTGTTTCTGTAAGAGTTAAAGTTCCTCTCCCTGAACAAGAGCAACAATCCAATTTTACAAAAAACACCACTTTTGAGAAAATTAACAGAGAAATCAAAGTATCATTTCAACCACTGATCTTTCCATAAGTTCCTGTGATCTCTCTGTAAGGCTGGGAATATAGCTCAGTGGCACAGGGCCTGCCTGGCAAGCACAAGGTCCTGAGTTCAATTCCCAATACAAAAGGAAAAAAAAAAAAAACAGTTCCTCTCAGGACTGATGCTTTCATTTATTTCTATTGTATTTCCCTTTCACTTCAAATAGTATGTTTAAAGTAAGTTAGAGAAATGATCGACATTCAACAAGTAAACCTATTATTAGTTCATTTCTTTGTAAAGATTTTTAAAGAAAAGACCTTATAAGAAAAAATTGTTTACTAATAAATAAGGTGTTTAAATAATAGTCCTCAATTAAAAACCTTTTGTAAATTACTTAGTATCAAACACTTCTGATGTTATATACATACAATATGTAATATATGTGTCAGTGTCTACTTCAAATCTTCTTGGAAATAAAATTTTTAAAAATGAGTTATGTCAAGTCAAAGATTTTAGCCTTCTAGATTTTGATTTTAAAATGTTATTTCTGGAATTCCAGGAAAATTACAACATATTGATAGTGAAAATGAACAAATTTTTATAACCTTGAAATTAATTAGATAATAATGCATTGTTCCCCCACCTACCCACCCACACACACTGCTTCTCCCCATGACATCACAACAGGTTCCTCAAAGTTATTGACTCTTAAAAGTTGAGTTTAGCTTTCTTACCTGGTACTCTCTTCGCCCAGTTGATCATGTGCACCAGCTCCCTGTCTGCCAGGTTGGTCAGTAAGCCCATCATTGAAGCTTCGCTGAAGGGTTTGACAGCATCATACTCAGAATAGAGTAAGGGGGGCTCAGCATCCATCAAGGCACTGACCATCTGATCAGCTGTCAAGGACAAGGCGGGGCTGTTCTTCTTGGTGTGCTTAATTACAAGAGGGCTTGGCCAAAGATTAGAACCTCTCATGTCTCCAGAAGGCCCCATCTCATTCCTCCTTTCTTCATCGTCTCTCTGTCGCTTGTATTTCAACATTCTCCCTCCTCTTCGGTCTTTCCGTATACCTGAAAACGTAGGGGGAATAAACAATTAGTCTGTTTCTTTCATGTTGACTTTCATCCAAAGGTTCAATACAAAACTAATGACCTCCTTTTATTAATATAGATGTTTAGGGACACAGGCAAACTAATAAGCATTTAATAACTGGCTTTCCAAGAAATAAAGAAAAAGGCAGTCATGAGGAGACTTAGAGAAGATGGCAGATTGATAAGTAGCTTGTGACCACCAATCCAACCCTACAAAAAATATTGAAAGACACTCTAGAGTGAGAGAGAAAAAAATACCAGGATTTCAGCAACAGTGGCAAAGAGGCCTCAATGAATGGGGCAGATAGTATAATGAAGGAGAAAAGAAGAAAACCAATGGCAGAAAAATAGCATAACAGAAATGAGGCAGAGAAGGTTGGTTATAATCTCTAACATAGATGGCCTTGATACACTACCAAAAAGCAACACAGGCAGAGTAGATCAGGATATAGGGTACATCAAGATGCTCTGTATAGGAAGTACAATTAACCTGAAGGAGGGCTTATGGACCAAAAGTCAGATGTGAGAAAACAACGTTCTATCAATAGGGAACCAGAGAGAAATAGGGGCAGCTCATCCAGCAACTTCAGATAATTGGAAAAACATGACACTTTTGTGTAGTGGAGAACCACTCAGCCATAATAAAGGAAAACCTTGAAGCTTTTGTAGGTAAAGGAACACAACTTAAGATCAAGCTCAGGGGTGAAAAGGTTCCCAACCACTTGAGTAAATAGTGGGTTGCCCCTCAGCTAAATACTAAAGGAGTTAGTGGGACCCAAATGTACAGTGCACCCTGTGAAAGTGAAAGGGGAAGAATTGCCTAAAAAAGGGAGGCAGAGGGCATTGTTAATAGTGTATCAGGATTTAAAATCTACATTATTCTCATCACTCTGCTCAGTCTGATTATATTTTGTTCCAGTGTGTCTACTTGTACTAGATCTGAGGGCACAGACAGCTATTCCAAAAACAGCAGAAGATATACTATAGTAACCATCCTTAATTTTCTATTAACTTAATATGAAGCCCTGTATAACTTACACTGTCTTATTATGACTGATATTATTTAAACCTGGTTTATTAGATTGCCATTTTGTCTTGACTGATTTTATTTGAATCTGTTTGATTGACAGTATCAAGTCTGAGAGTATAGACAAATACTCTGAAGATGACAAGATTCACTAGGGTACCCACTCTGGTTTGACTATTATCTGCTTTTGAAGTCTTATAATGTCTCCAATGTTTTATTTTTGTTAATATTGTTATGTACTGCTATGCTCAATTACACTATGCCTGATGATATACACAATTCTATTGAAGATAACAAGAGACATCATAGTAACCACTGTAGATGGTTATTGATTTTATGTCTTTTTCATTTCATGTCTTTCTAGGAACTTGTTTTATTTTGTCTTGTTTTGATTTGTTTTTCCCTCTCATACAGAAAGGATAGATATACATGTAGAGACTCATGCATGCATAGAACTTCTAAACAGTTTATGAGAACTGATTATATAATGCCTGATAAAATGAACAACTACTTTGAAGAAAAAAAGAAACTAAGGTAACCAGTGTTGATTCCATAGCACCATGATGTGAAATCTAGCAATACTTTATTCTTTGTTCTTAGCAAACAATTATTCTTTGTTCAGAGTGATTTTAGTCTGTTTTGTTTTGTTTAATTTCAATATACATGAAGGTATGGGCAGCTATTTTGAAGAGAAAGAGCGAGTATGACAGCCATTGTTGACTTCCTTATTGTCTGGTCTTGAAGATGTAAAATGCCTTCATCATCCTGTTCTGATCAGTTTTATACTATGTTGTTTTGTATAAATTTACTGTATGTGAAGATATGGACAACTATATGAAAGAAAACAAGAGACAATATGATAGGTAATGAGGATCTCTGATTGTTTTGCCTTGAAATCTCTGTCTCTAATATTGTTTTCTTACGTTATGTTTTTTTCTGTTTAATTTTACCCTCTTTAGAATAAAGTTTTAAAAAAATAAGTCAGTATAAATAGTTATTCAATTTTACATCCATATTTTCTCACTTTGCCTCCACAAAAAAGGCACTCATTTGCAGAATTTTCCAGTTTTCATGGTATAAATGCTATCATCATAAGAAATTCCAAATCACTTGTCTGGTATCAAGAAGCTATGATTAAGTTTTCATGAGTCACAGAACAAGTTGGCTTTGACAAACCTGGAACCAACTATGTGTTCATGTTTAGCAAGTATTATAAAAAGGATAGAATTGAAGTATGATTAATATCAGGGATTATTTCCACTATGAACATTTTTTCAATAGTAAATTAAAAGGATATTTTTAATAATTGAAAAATGGGACAGAATAGTGGAATAAGACTTGCAGAGATAAAATCTCAACAGAAATACCAATTTGAAAAATTATTAATTCATGAGAGTATTTTCAAGAGCTAAAAAAAAAAAAAAACATGAGAGTCATAGAACCTGGTTTTGTCATAATAATAGAAAAGATACATTAGGCACTGGGGGTATAGCTCAGTGGGATGAGTGCCTATCTAACAAGTATAAGGCCCTGAGTTTGATTCCTAGTATTAAAAAAATGACACATTGAAAAACGTAGAAACTTTCAACTCTCAGCACCACAAAAAGACAGATATCTCCCGCTGGAGGGAGAGGTAGGGAACTAAGTGCAGGTGTTTGACCTAAATCCCAAAATCAACCTCACCACAGTGAAACCTAGTACTTGGCAGAGTCTTACAGCCTATGCCTCCAGGCCACTGGCCTCAGACAAAGTCCATGGATCTAAGTTTGCCCCAGTATGACAGATTTGTATATCGGCCCATATTGCTTTCAGTCAGTTGCAGTGGTCACAGACCATGAAGAGACAACAGCAAGTAAACCATAACATCATGGGTATTGGAATTGTCCCTGCACTGCACAAGTCTCATTGGACTGTGGGCTCCTATCGTGCACTACCATTCAGGTAGTCACGGGGGCCACACAACTACCAACCCCATCCCTTCTACAACCCTAGGCAGAACAATATGGAGAGTTACTATCCAATGGGAAAACAGGTAAGAGATAGGCACAAGTCATTACTGCACACCCTCCACAGTAAGACCCAGTGCCAGGCAGAAACACATGATACCAAAACAAGATGGCAATAGTAAGATCTAACTTAACCTTAAAAGCAAACAGATTGACCTCCGCACAGCCGCACTCAAGCGGCTGCCTGGGGCACCTCCAAGGCGGTCAGTGAGACCTGTCACTGCTGGCCCGGGAGTGACTGGGTGCCCACCAGCTGCCCTGCCCCTGACCTCGCCATGGCCACCAACCCAGAGGGGAGGTGGCACAAAGTCCACCACCACCGCCGCCATGCTCCAGCTGCTGCCACCCGAGAGGGGAGGTGACTCAAACTAATACAGTGCAGGCCACAGCACTTGACTGATCTGGAGGGGAGGAGTCAGCATATGCTGTCCCTGTCTGCAACTCACTAGCACACTGCAGTGGGAAGGGTCATCTAGCCAGTGTGCTTCAGAAGAATTGTAACCAACAAAGAAAGAAACTGGAAACTCCTGGAAGAAGCAAAAAGATGGGAAGAGGAAGAAACAACAAAAAGTCCCCAGGTCCCAACCCTGAGAACATTGACACAGGACAGGTAAATACAAAGGAGAACCAGAACAGCAAACATGCAATATCAGACACAGTGCCAGTGGACATAAAGAGATATGTTCGGGACCTCATAGACAAGTTCAAAAGTGAAATATTTAGCCAAATAAAGCAAAATATAAGAAAATTAATTAAAGAGATACTAAGCACCCCTCAAGCAGACACAGATGGAAGAAGGGAGGAACTCAAACACAGGGGAGAACCATTTGATGAAGAATATAAAAATATATAGAATACATGAAGCAGATTCAAAGAGATCACCAGGAAATTAAAAACTCTATGGAAAGATGGCAAATCAGCTTGAAAGAAACTAAGGATAGATTATCCAAACTGGAGGACAATTTTGCAATGTGGGAATATGAAAGGGAAAACTTTTTAAAAATAACAAGGAAACAAGCAGTAACAATACAAGGGCTAGAAGATGACAAGAGGATCTATAACTTGAGAATAAAGAATGTGAATGAAGAAGCTGGGGTACAAACAAAGGAACTACAAAGGTTATTCACAGAAATAACTAAGGAAAACTTCCCAAACATAGGAAAAGGAAATGATATTCTGATATATGAGGCGTACAGAACTCCAGCCACCTACAACCAAAACAGAGCTACACTCAGGCATATAATAATTAAGATCCAAGACATTCAATATAAGAACAAAATATTAAAAGCTATTACAGACGGGAAACAGATAACCGATAGAAGAATGCTCATCAGAATAACGGCAGACTTCTCAACACAAAAATTCAAGAAGAGCCTGGAGCAAAATATTCCAAGCCCTGAAAGAAAATAACCTCCAGCCCAGATTGATATACCCTGATAAACTGTCACTAGAAATTAATGGAGAAACAAGATGCTTCCAAGACAAAGAAGAACTTGGGAAATTTGCAACCACCAATCCAAGTCTACAGAGAATACAGCAGGGCATTCTAGAGAGAGAGAAAAGTACTAGGATTCCAGGAACAGTGGCAGAGAGGCCTCAATGATGGAAGCAGAACACAAAATGAAGAAGATAAGCAAATAACTGATGGCAAACAAGAGCATAACAGAAATGAGGCAGAGAAGATTTTATTCAAAACTGATAATGATTGATAGTATCAATTCTGAGAGGATAGGCAACTACACTGAAGATGACAAGACTCTATGATATACATTCTGGTTTGATAACTGCTGGTTTTTGAAATTCTATACTATATACAAAGTTGTATTTTTATTAATACTCTTATGTACTGATATATTTTATTATTCTTTGTTCAGAGTGATATTAGACTGCTTGGGTTTATTCAATCTCAACATAATTGGAGATATGGATAACTACATGTATATTTA